CAGACGCCATTGAATGTAAGCATTTGCCCACTCAAGTCGGTTTACGATGATGAACTGCAGTCAGGTTGAGAGCCTGATGAAGATGATGAGCATGCAAATGAGCTTCCCTGAAACGGTTTTTGACAGGTTGTGCAGAAATTCTTTGGTTATGCAAACCGATTGTTGCAGCAGCTGTCCGGGTGGCTGGTCTCAGGCGATCTTGGAGGTGAAAATGCTCGATGTGGAGGTCCTGGACTGGTGTGGTTACACGTGGTCTGCGGTTGTGAGGCCGGTTGGATGTGCTGCCAAATTCTCTGAAAAGTCTTTGGAGACGGCTTATGGTAGAGAAATGAACATTCAATTCACGGGCAACAGCTCTGGTGGACAATCCTGCAGTCAGCATGCCAATTGAATGCTCCCTCAAAACTTGCGACATCTGTGGCATTGTGCCGTGTGATAAAACTGTACATTTTAGAGTGGCCTTTTATTGTGACCAGCCTAAGGCACACCTGTGCAATAATCATGCTGTCTAATCAGCATCTTGATATGCCACACCTGTGAGGTGCAGGGCCGCCATCAGGGCATGACAACCGCAACGGTTGTCATGGGCCTGGCGGTCCTGGGGGGCCCGGACTGCTCAGGTGGTCCGGGCCCCCTCATGCAGTGGGTACATACCGGTCGCAGGGGGTCCTGCGACCCGGTATGTACCCACTGGGCCAGCCTCTTCTCCTGGGGGGCCCAGCAGCCGGTCACCTCAGGGCCCCCCATGACGTCATCTTCCGGCTCCGGCATCAGTACGCGGCGTGCGAGGGAGCTGAAGAGGAAGCACACAGAGAGTGCTCCCTCGCGCGCCGGCCCGCCCGCCCGCCGCCGGGTATCAGGTGGGGGGAGGAATGAAATGGGAGAAGGATTGGGGGGGTGGAAGGAATGAAACGGGAGGGGAGGCTGAAATGGGATGGGGAGAAAATGATATGGGAGGGGGAGAAGCCAAAGGGGCTGGAAGGAAATCGAAATGGAGGGGAGAAGGAATGGGAGGGGAGAAATGAGATGGAGGGGAGAGAAGGAAAAGGGGCTAAAGGAATGAAATGGGAAGGGGAGAAGGAACGAAATGGGAAGATTGAGGGGGGAAGGAAATGAAATGGGAGGGGGGAAGGAAATGAAATGGGAGGGGGGGAGGAATGAAATGGGAAGGGGAGAATAAAATGAAATGGAGGGGGGAATGAAATGGGAGGGGGAGGAAATGAACCGAGGGAGGGGGAGGAATGAAAATGGGAGGAAGGCTGAATTGGGAAGGGGGGAGGAATGAAATGGGGGGGGAAGGAATTAAATGGGAGGGGGGAGAAGAAATGGAAGGGGGGGAGGAATGAAATGGGAGGGGGGGAAAGAATGAAATTTGAGGGAGGGAGGGAAGAAATGAAATTTGGGGGAGGGGGGACAGGAATGAAATTTGAGGGGGAGGGGGGAAAGGAATTAAATTTGAGGGAGGGGGGAGAGGAAGGAAATTTGAGGGAGGGAGGGGGGAGAGGAAGGAAATTTGAGGGAGGGACGGGGGGAGAGGAAGGAAATTTGAGGGAGGGACGGGGGGAGAGGAAGGAAATTGGAGAGGGAGGGGGGGGGAGAAGAAGGAAATTGGAGAGAGGGAGGGAAGGAAATTTGAGGACGGGAGAGGAAGGAAATTTGAGGGACGGGAGGAGGGGAAGGAAATTTGAGGGACGGGGGAGAGGAAGGAAATTGGAGGGGAGAGGAAGGAAATTGTAGGGGAGAGAGAAGGAAATTGGAGGGGGGAAGAAGGAAATAGGAGAGGGAGGGGGAGAAGAAGGAAATTGGAGAGAGGGAGGGAGGGGGAGAAGAAGGAAATTGGAGGGAGAGGGGGGGAGAAGGAAATTGACGGGGGGAGGGGGAGAGATTGACATCCATCACACACAATGCACCCCTTGCACACAGAAAAATACACAATGCATTACACACAGACACACGTACACAAGCAATGCATCCCTTACACACAGCAACACACAATGCACCCCTTACACACACTCAATGCATCCCTTACAGACGCATACACTGCATCCCATACATACACAAACTCATCTTGCAGCCCTTACACATACAAACACAGATTCACACAATGCATTCCTTACACACATCAGGACATCCCCCCACACACTCCACTCCCTGTGAACAAACTCATTGGTGGAACATGAAGGTGGACCCTGGGACCCAGACCTTGAGCTGTGTAAAGGGCCCTCAAAAAAATGGAGCTGCTTCCCGTTCTCCCATAACAGTGATTTTTGTGACCACAGTTACAAACCGCCTCCAGAGAGCCTGTTGTACACCAGATGGCAGCTAGAGCCCATCATCATCCTCATCTGGTTGTAAGTAGGCAATCTAGTATATTATTCGTGGCACTAATCTATAATTTACCTCACATTAAAGGGACACTATAGTCCCCAGAACCACTGCAGCTTAATGTAGTGGTTCTGGTGTCTAGCCTGTCCCTGCAGGCCTTTTAATGCAAACACGGCAGCACTGGTGTTAGTTAACATGGCAGATCATATGGGTGGGGCATTGTGATGTCACATGGGGGTGCGGCAAACTTTACTTTTGCCTAGGGCGGCAAAAATCCTTGCACCGGTCCTGCAGACACTGCATCCCTGTGGGCGGATTCGGAGGGGGGGGGGCAGCACTTTGGGCGGACTCGGGTGCAGGCACCGGGGGCCAAGACCTTGAGCTGTGTCAGGGGCCCCAACATTTCTGATGGCAGCCCTGCTCCCAGTAGCTGGGATCACAGGCACACGCCACTGCACCCGGCAAGGTTTTTGAAGCTGTTCAGTGTAATATGAAACTTCCCAATCTGATGTCAGCAGTCACTGTGTTATAGCTAACCAGCGCCACCACCTGGACATTTTTATTAAGGCATTTTAAAAGAAAGCCAAATCGGCTTCATGCTCGCTTGTGAAAGTAAACCCAGCAGAAGTGCAGCCCATCCCGATGTTGTATTTTGAAAGCCTAACGATTCATGACAATTTAGAAGTATAAGAAAAAATAGGGTATTAATGCAAAGTGACAGCCTCACCGGGACGTGCCTCCGTTTAAAGCACCTTCCTTTTTAGATTGAAAGACTGACAGGAATGAGATCGCACTGTTTCCCCAGTGTTCCTCGAGCACTGTTAGTTTTTTTGTTTTTTTTTTAAAAAGGAAGCAGTTTTAACCTTTTCAACACAATACATCTTAGTTGTCAAGGACATCAATTCCGCACTTTTGAATTCCACGAGATTTAGTTGTTTTGGCTTTTTGGTTAAATAATATCTGGTTAGTTTTAGGGCATGTGATGCTAGTTTGGGCATGTGTTAGTCACGGAGAAAATTGACAGATTTAGTAATTGAGTAATCTGGCTTTTAAAGATAAAAGAAAAAATAACTTAGAAGGAAAAAAAATGAAATTTCAAAAAGTATATATTTTTTTCTGAATAGTTTCTGCAAGGTTCAGTTTAGTCTAGGTTGTGACAGTGAATGGCAGTAAGAGGGCCAACACATAGATTGGGACGATACCTAAGTGAAAAGATGGATAAAGAAGAAACCGTGATTGGTTAGTTATATCGTCAATTAATTTGGGAATCAGGAAATTAGAGGGTCAGAGAGTCGAGTAGGGTTAGGATGTAGGTGACTAGGCAGTAAGTGAATTTATCTATGGTGATAGAGAATTTTGATAAAATGACTACATGAAAAGTGCTGAAATAGCCCTCATGCAATCTCATGGGGTGGCTGTTCTCAAAAGAAGATATAGTTTGTTAGCCTAATTCAAAATGGTGGTCTGTTCAAATTCTCCGCATGACACACCTATTGCTTGAGCAAGTGTTTGTAAATAGAAAGGCACCATTTGATGAGTTTAAAACACTTTCATTTCAAAATAATTGAATTTGCATGAAAACCATTTTTTGAATAATTAAGTGAAATGGGATTTTTAAAATTTTAGTTTTCTATTCGAATGATATAGAGGTAAGTAAAAAGTCAGTGTCTCACTGTTTTGACCAGGCTGCTCTACATTGTCTATTCACAGGTGCTGTCCCACTACTGATCAACATGGGGGATTTGACCTGCTCTGTTCTCAACCTGGGCCGGTTCACCCCTCCTTAGACCAACCTGGTAGCTCCAAGCTCCCTCAGAGTCACCATATTGGTGCTGAACTTAGTGCGGACACCCGATTGACATAACTCATGGCAGAACAGAACTCCTGAACTCAAATGATCCAACAGCCTCAGCCTCCCAGTAGCTGGGATCACAGGCACACGCCACTGCACCCAGCAATGTTTTTGAAGCTGTTCAGTGTAATATGAAACTTCCCAATCTGATGTCAGCAGTCACTGTGTTATAGCTAACCAGCGCCACCACCTGGACATTTTTATTAAGGCATTTTAAAAGAAAGCCAAATCGGCTTCATGCTCGCTTGTGAAAGTAAACCCAGCAGAAGTGCAGCCCATCTCGATGTTGTATTTTGAAAGCCTAACGATTCATGACAATTTAGAAGTATAAGAAAAAATAGGGTATTAATGCAAAGTGACAGCCTCACCGGGACGTGCCTCCGTTTAAAGCACCTTCCTTTTTAGATTGAAAGACTGACAGGAATGAGATCGCACTGTTTCCCCAGTGTTCCTCGAGCACTGTTAGTTTTTTTGTTTTTTTTAAATAGGAAGCGGTTTTAACCTTTTCAACACAATACATCTTAGTTGTCAAGGACATCAATTCCGCACTTTTGAATTCCACGAGATTTAGTTGTTTTGGCTTTTTGGTTAAATAATATCTGGATAGTTTTAGGGCATGTGATGCTAGTTTGGGCATGTGTTAGTCACGGAGAAAATTGACAGATTTAGTAATTGAGTAATCTAGCTTTTAAAGATAAAAGAAAGAGGGGGCGGAGCCAAGCAACTGACCTGAATGGCCGCATGCCTAGCGAGCTCCGCTGCAAAAAAGTAGTTTGGACCAGCTAACACGAACCCAGCCCAACGAAACCGGTACCAAAACGACCTGCAGGCATCTACCAACGACATGGGCCGCAAAACTAAAAAATCTAAGCCCGACAACCCGCGGCAGCACCACAGCATTGGCGACATGTGGAAGCAGGCGCTTAGCGCCCAAGGCCCCAACATGGCCGCTTACAACGACTACGGCTCGGATATCTCTGATGATTTCACCACAGAGACTGAGATGGAACACCCGCATGAGGAAATACCACCTCGCAAGTCACCCCCGCAAGCAGACTCCTCACCAGTGACCGTTGCTGTCATGAAAGACCTCCTAGCAGATCTCCGACTAACCATACAGGCCGACATGGCCCAACTACGCAAGGACCTACAAGGCCTAACGGGCCGGCTGGGCACACTGGAGGCAGACTCCCAGTGCACCAAACAACACACTCAAGCCCTACAACAAACGGTCCAGGAGATCAAAACACAGCAATCCACATACGAGCAGCGTATAGCAGCCTTAGAGGATCGGAGTCGCTGCCGGAACATAAAAATCCGAGGCATAGGAGAGGAGATACCGGAGTCTGAACTCCCACATACATTGCGGAGACTAATGCAGTCACTTCTACCTCACAAGCAAGCCAAACAGGTACCCATCGAAAATTTATTTCGCCTACCACGAGCAGCCAAGGCCCCACCAAAGGCCCCACGAGACCTCCTGGCTTGCTTCCAAAATCACGGAGACAAGGTGGCGGTAATGCAGGCTACGCGGAACCAATCACCGTACCCGTTTGAAAATATGCAGCTATCTTTTTACGCGGACTTGTCGGGGCCCACCCTGGCGTGGAGACGCACACTTCAACCCTTTACAGCCCTCCTACGCCAACATAAAATCACCTACCACTGGAGAGGTTCGCGCACACTGTTAATCCACCACGGGAATGCGACCTCTACCATCCAGGACTTACAGGAGGCAAATGAACTGCTACCGACCCTGGGACTTCCCCCGCTCGCTCATCCTCCACCGGAGAACGGAACCACGCTGGCACACAGCACCGCTTGGAATCCCGCAACAGCGACCCCATTCGTCCCTAGAAGAGCCGAAACAGCGATCACCGCGGTAACCAACGCCAGACGCAGTCTTGAAGCTACCTAGTATCCAGACCAGTGTACTTTAAACAGCATCACCCGCTGCACCCCCTGGACTCACGAACCAGTTATGATGTATATATGTTTAAAATTTTAATGCCGACATTTTATGACAGAACTCACACTAGTGCTGGCAACCAAGGGCACGTTATAGCCACTCAGGTAAAGCCATTCGAAATCTTCCCCCCCTCCCCCGGGTAACAGGGGATCTTTAAACAACACCAATGAGGGCACTGACTTACTTAACATGTACCTATCATACAGTCGTGCTAAAGCAAACATTACACCAGTCATGTTTTCCCATCTCTCTCACTACTCTGAACACTACTCCCTAACAGGACCATACGATATATAAACATGACTATCCTGGTGTTATTTGTAACTATAACTCATGATACTCATTAGCTTAGATCTACCTGTTTACAGATTTACCCAATATGCATAGCTAGTGATCAGCGGTCTACTTTAACATAAATGTTCTCATGCGTTATAAATCTTTATGTGTCAGAGCCTCAACATATTCTAACCCTGAAACATGAAAGCATGTTACCACATCCCACTGGTACTAACGTAGTTAACCTATAACTGTCAAGCATTACTTATTCTCAATTGTCTTACATATATCTATTCTGATAGTATAATCATTTAATTAAGCTGGTTAATACTCCACGAATATGCAAATACTACTGCTACTAACAAACGCGGGTTAATCTTGCATTACGTTTAGCTTGTTCATAACTTAACAATTAAAAATTGTGCTGATAATCTTATGCCATAAATGTACAGCGACTGTGTTCACATTTTTTAAATATGCTGCTGTGGCATTTACAAATGATTTGTTACTCCATGCACAAAGAAAAATAAAGAATTTTAAAAAAAAAAAAGATAAAAGAAAAAATAACTTAGAAGGAAAAAAAATGAAATTTCAAAAAGTATATATATTTTTTCTGAATAGTTTCTGCAAGGTTCAGTTTAGTCTAGGCAGTGACAGTGAATGGCAGTAAGAGGGCCAACACATAGATTGGGACGATACCTAAGTGAAAAGATGGATAAAGAAGAAAACGTGATTGGTTAGTTATATCGTCAATTAATTTGGGAATCAGGAAATTAGAGGGTCAGAGAGTCGAGTAGGGTTAGGATGTAGGTGACTAGGCAGTAAGTGAATTTATCTATGGTGATAGAGAATTTTGATAAAATGACTACATGAAAAGTGCTGAAATAGCCCTCATGCAATCTCATGGGGTGGCTGTTCTCAAAAGAAGATATAGTTTGTTAGCCTAATTCAAAATGGTGGTCTGTTCAAATTCTCCGCATGACACACCTATTGCTTGTTTGTAAAGTGTTTGTAAAGAGAAAGTCACCATTTGATGAGTTTAAAACACTTTCATTTCAAAATAATTGAATTTGCATGAAAACCATTTTTTGAATAATTAAGTGAAATGGGATTTTTAAAATTTTAGTTTTCTATTCGAATGATATAGAGGTAAGTAAAAAGTCAGTGTCTCACTGTTTTGACCAGGCTGCTCTACATTGTCTATTCACAGGTGCTGTCCCACTACTGATCAACACGGGGGATTTGACCTGCTCTGTTCCCAACCTGGGCCGGTTCACCCCTCCTTAGACCAACCTGGTAGCTCTAAGCTCCCTCAGAGTCACCATATTGGTGCTGAACTTAGTGCGGACACCCGATCGACATAGCTCATGGCAGAACAGAACTCCTGAACTCAAGTGATCCAACAGCCTCAGCCTCCCAGTAGCTGGGATCACAGGCACACGCCACTGCACCCGGCAAGGTTTTGAAGCTGTTCAGTGTAATATGAAACTTCCCAATCTGATGTCAGCAGTCACTGTGTTATAGCTAACCAGCGCCACCACCTGGACATTTTTATTAAGGCATTTTAAAAGAAAGCCAAATCGGCTTCATGCTCGCTTGTGAAAGTAAACCCAGCAGAAGTGCAGCCCATCTCGATGTTGTATTTTGAAAGCCTAACGATTCATGACAATTTAGAAGTATAAGAAAAAATAGGGTATTAATGCAAAGTGACAGCCTCACCGGGACGTGCCTCCGTTTAAAGCACCTTCCTTTTTAGATTGAAAGACTGACAGGAATGAGATCGCACTGTTTCCCCAGTGTTCCTCGAGCACTGTTAGTTTTTTTGTTTTTTTTTAAATAGGAAGCGGTTTTAACCTTTTCAACACAATACATCTTAGTTGTCAAGGACATCAATTCCGCACTTTTGAATTCCACGAGATTTAGTTGTTTTGGCTTTTTGGTTAAATAATATCTGGATAGTTTTAGGGCATGTGATGCTAGTTTGGGCATGTGTTAGTCACGGAGAAAATTGACAGATTTAGTAATTGAGTAATCTGGCTTTTAAAGATAAAAGAAAAAATAACTTAGAAGGAAAAAAAATGAAATTTCAAAAAGTATATATTTTTTTTCTGAATAGTTTCTGCAAGGTTCAGTTTAGTCTAGGCAGTGACAGTGAATGGCAGTAAGAGGGCCAACACATAGATTGGGACGATACCTAAGTGAAAAGATGGATAAAGAAGAAAACGTGATTGGTTAGTTATATCGTCAATTAATTTGGGAATCAGGAAATTAGAGGGTCAGAGAGTCGAGTAGGGTTAGGATGTAGGTGACTAGGCAGTAAGTGAATTTATCTATGGTGATAGAGAATTTTGATAAAATGACTACATGAAAAGTGCTGAAATAGCCCTCATGCAATCTCATGGGGTGGCTGTTCTCAAAAGAAGATATAGTTTGTTAGCCTAATTCAAAATGGTGGGCTGTTCAAATTCTCCGCATGACACACCTATTGCTTGTTTGTAAAGTGTTTGTAAAGAGAAAGGCACCATTTGATGAGTTTAAAACACTTTCATTTCAAAATAATTGAATTTGCATGAAAACCATTTTTTGAATAATTAAGTGAAATGGGATTTTTAAAATTTTAGTTTTCTATTCGAATGATATAGAGGTAAGTAAAAAGTCAGTGTCTCACTGTTTTGACCAGGCTGCTCTACATTGTCTATTCACAGGTGCTGTCCCACTACTGATCAACACGGGGGATTTGACCTGCTCTGTTCCCAACCTGGGCCGGTTCACCCCTCCTTAGACCAACCTGGTAGCTCCAAGCGCCCTCAGAGTCACCATATTGGTGCTGAACTTATTGCGGACACCCGATCGACATAGCTCATGGCAGAACAGAACTCCTGTACTCAAGTGATCCAACCTCCCAGTAGCTGGGATCACAGGCACACGCCACTGCACCCGGCAAGGTTTTTGAAGCTGTTCAGTGTAATATGAAACTTCCCAATCTGATGTCAGCAGTCACTGTGTTATAGCTAACCAGCGCCACCACCTGGACATTTTTATTAAGGCATTTTAAAAGAAAGCCAAATCGGCTTCATGCTCGCTTGTGAAAGTAAACCCAGCAGAAGTGCAGCCCATCTCGATGTTGTATTTTGAAAGCCTAACGATTCATGACAATTTAGAAGTATAAGAAAAAATAGGGTATTAATGCAAAGTGACAGCCTCACCGGGACGTGCCTCCGTTTAAAGCACCTTCCTTTTTAGATTGAAAGACTGACAGGAATGAGATCGCACTGTTTCCCCAGTGTTCCTCGAGCACTGTTAGTTTTTTTGTTTTTTTTTAAATAGGAAGCGGTTTTAACCTTTTCAACACAATACATCTTAGTTGTCAAGGACATCAATTCCGCACTTTTGAATTCCACGAGATTTAGTTGTTTTGGCTTTTTGGTTAAATAATATCTGGATAGTTTTAGGGCATGTGATGCTAGTTTGGGCATGTGTTAGTCACGGAGAAAATTGACAGATTTAGTAATTGAGTAATCTGGCTTTTAAAGATAAAAGAAAAAATAACTTAGAAGGAAAAAAAATGAAATTTCAAAAAGTATATATTTTTTTCTGAATAGTTTCTGCAAGGTTCAGTTTAGTCTAGGCAGTGACAGTGAATGGCAGTAAGAGGGCCAACACATAGATTGGGACGATACCTAAGTGAAAAGATGGATAAAGAAGAAAACGTGATTGGTTAGTTATATCGTCAATTAATTTGGGAATCAGGAAATTAGAGGGTCAGAGAGTCGAGTAGGGTTAGGATGTAGGTGACTAGGCAGTAAGTGAATTTATCTATGGTGATAGAGAATTTTGATAAAATGACTACATGAAAAGTGCTGAAATAGCCCTCATGCAATCTCATGGGGTGGCTGTTCTCAAAAGAAGATATAGTTTGTTAGCCTAATTCAAAATGGTGGGCTGTTCAAATTCTCCGCATGACACACCTATTGCTTGAGCAAGTGTTTGTAAAGAGAAAGGCACCATTTGATGAGTTTAAAACACTTTCATTTCAAAATAATTGAATTTGCATGAAAACCATTTTTTGAATAATTAAGTGAAATGGGATTTTTAAAATTTTAGTTTTCTATTCGAATGATATAGAGGTAAGTAAAAAGTCAGTGTCTCACTGTTTTGACCAGGCTGCTCTACATTGTCTATTCACAGGTGCTGTCCCACTACTGATCAACACGGGGGATTTGACCTGCTCTGTTCCCAACCTGGGCCGGTTCACCCCTCCTTAGACCAACCTGGTAGCTCCAAGCTCCCTCAGAGTCACCATATTGGTGCTGAACTTAGTGCGGACACCCGATTGACATAGCTCATGGCAGAACAGAACTCCTGAACTCAAGTGATCCAACAGCCTCAGCCTCCCAGTAGCTGGGATCACAGGCACACGCCACTGCACCCAGCAAGGTTTTTGAAGCTGTTCAGTGTAATATGAAACTTCCCAATCTGATGTCAGCAGTCACTGTGTTATAGCTAACCAGCGCCACCACCTGGACATTTTTATTAAGGCATTTTAAAAGAAAGCCAAATCGGCTTCATGCTCGCTTGTGAAAGTAAACCCAGCAGAAGTGCAGCCCATCTCGATGTTGTATTTTGAAAGCCTAACGATTCATGACAATTTAGAAGTATAAGAAAAAATAGGGTATTAATGCAAAGTGACAGCCTCACCGGGACGTGCCTCCGTTTAAAGCACCTTCCTTTTTAGATTGAAAGACTGACAGGAATGAGATCGCACTGTTTCCCCAGTGTTCCTCGAGCACTGTTAGTTTTTTTGTTTTTTTTTAAATAGGAAGCAGTTTTAACCTTTTCAACACAATACATCTTAGTTGTCAAGGACATCAATTCCGCACTTTTGAATTCCACGAGATTTAGTTGTTTTGGCTTTTTGGTTAAATAATATCTGGATAGTTTTAGGGCATGTGATGCTAGTTTGGGCATGTGTTAGTCACGGAGAAAATTGACAGATTTAGTAATTGAGTAATCTGGCTTTTAAAGATAAAAGAAAAAATAACTTAGAAGGAAAAAAAATGAAATTTCAAAAAGTATATATTTTTTTTCTGAATAGTTTCTGCAAGGTTCAGTTTAGTCTAGGCAGTGACAGTGAATGGCAGTAAGAGGGCCAACACATAGATTGGGACGATACCTAAGTGAAAAGATGGATAAAGAAGAAAACGTGATTGGTTAGTTATATCGTCAATTAATTTGGGAATCAGGAAATTAGAGGGTCAGAG